GTAATAACTGTGCTTTGAAGCAGGTTCTTTTTATAGGCAGAGGACCTACATTTAGACCCTGCTTCCAGTCTTGAAATGCTAATATGTCCCTAAATGGTTCCTCTGCTTGTGGAAAAATATGGATGAAGATTACATGTATAAGCAACTTTTCTGAATAGCTCCTCACCTGTCCCAGCCTTCTTCTCCTCCCAGGACGTAGATTTTTCCATCCACCACAGCAGCCCCGGGTCGGTAGCGTCGCTCTTTCATGGGGGCGCACATGGTCCACTGGTTGGTCTTGGGATTGTAGCACTCGACCTTATCAGTGTTCTCCGTCGAGGCGTGCCATCCACCTGCAAGAAACAAAGAGAGGTTCAACAACAAGAAAGACTATTTGTTGATCAGTGAGAAAATCTAAAAGTCTGAAACATACATGTTTATTACCTATTACATAGATCTTTCCTTTGAGGGTACAGGCTGCTGAACCAGAGCGAGCGATCTGCATCGGTGTGACCTCTGTCCATACAGAGGTTTTAGGGTTGTACACCTGGGCGAGATCTGTGCCGTCACCGTCCTCGAGAACTGCACCACCTACCAGGACACAGGGAGACATAAATACATACAATTAAAAGGACAGAGTCCAGAATAACCTGCATGTGTAGAGCCTTTATTTCCTACCTGTAACATAGAGCAGCCCGTCCAGGGCCACCACAGCAGGACTTGTGACGGCCATCTTGACAGACTCTGTGAACTGCCAGGAGTTGCTGTGGGGGTTGTAGCACTCGACCGAGTCCAGACGTGACCGCCCCTCCCAACCTCCCACTGCATACACAAAGCCGTCCAGCATCACCAGGCCTGACAGGAGAAATGTTATGTTATTATTATAAAATGTTATTTTCAAATACTAAATGCAAGTTTCAGGAACTCTCAGGGTGCTATTGATCGGCAACAAACAAAAACGACCATTAAATTATAGCTGATTCTGTATCGGCCAGGACATCCAGTAAAATAAGAATAACGGAGAATGCTTGTTAAATAATAAGGACATCCAGGTCATTAGTATTTACTGAGAGGAGGAAATTCGGTGGGAGTTGGAGTCAGTGTTATTTTTTAGCTGTGTGCAGCAGAAACTGGGATACTTCACAGTCATTAGTGTGAGGCAAAACAAAACAGATTAAACTAAATTATAAAAATATTAAGGATATCTATGGATAGAGAGCAGTTGTGGGAAAAGAACAAGATCAGGCATCCTGACCTAACTCGGATCGAGCTACATTCATGGGGGCCATCTCCATCCAGGAGTCGAAGCAGGGGTCATAGCGCCACATCTCTCTGCTGGCTGAGCCGTCAGGAAACTCCCCTCCTGCCAAATACAGAGTGGAGTCTGCAGAAGAGGAGGAGAAGTGGGAGTGGGTGGACAGAAACACGTCACCTGTCATGTGCACTACATCCAGGCTTGGTTTCTCATTTCGGAGGAGGCACAGCATGGAGTTAATTATCCTCTAAAATAAACTTGACAGTGGGTTTTTTTTACCCTCACCTGACACAACCAGCCCGTGTTTGCTCACGGCAAAGGGCAGACAGGCCAGATTCTTCCACTGATTCGTCACAGGATCGAAGCTCTCGACACTGCGCAGCACCACCTTGTCGTCTTCCCCGCCGACTGTCACTATCACTTCAGCTGTCCCTGTTACCATGGCAACAGAGGGAGAGGAACAGAGAGGAGTGAGCCGAGGCAGAGGCCCGAAGGATACAACGTAGAGGGGTGTTGGACCCACGACTAATGATCACGAATAAATCTGGAAACCAGTTTCTACATTAATCGATTGGTCCATAAAATGTCAGAAAAAGTCAAAAACCCACAGATAATCATTTATCTTGTATTGCTGTTACAATTTCAAATGATTTTCACTGATTATTTAATTAAGCACCTGGTAAAGAGTAGGAGTAGAAACCAGGTGGAACAACCCATGCATAGTAATGAGTGAGACCTAAAAAATGAAAAACTTTCTCGAATGTGTATCTCACTAATAAAAAATGTGAGCGAAAAGTTTCCATCCATTGTGTTCACCTGTGGATCTGCGAGGTCTTGCTCGAGGGCAATACAGCTCTCCACGGCGGTCCTTCAGCAGCAGGTAGTCCTTGGCCTCGGAGATGAGCGTCTGGCAGGCCTGGTTCTCCTTCACCACATCCTGAGACTCGATCACGTCGTGGAGGTAGTAGGGGCTGATGAGAGGCAGGCGGATATGCTCGAGGACCTGCGAGGGAGAGAAATCTGATCAGACAGCTCATCTCAGTCACTTCCACACGCCTCTCTGCCATATACTGTATCGTTGCCCAGCTCATGTAAACTGAAGTGAGTCTGACCTTTTCAAAACTCTGTTTGCGAGAAGGGCATTTATTCAACCACGACATGGCGGCTTCAAACACCATCTCCTCTTTAGGCACATTGAGATGGTCACTGCCAACGATTTCTGTCAGTTTGTCCACACACAGAGACAAGAACTCCTCCTGGGGTGGAAGATTTAGATGAAGAAGAATTAGAAGGTGATTATGCAAAAACTTCTGAACAAATTTTCTTAAAATGTGGTTATGGGGAAGGGTTTGGAAAACAATGAGTCAGATTAAAGGGTTGGATTCAGTATTGTTTTTTTTGACATTGTGAGATATGGCGTTTGAAAAAAAAATGCGATATATCTCAAGTAATAATGCAGATATTTTCAAAATAAACATGGATATGACAATAGAGGTTTGCTCTTTGAATCAAGACAGGTGACCAAATAACACGATAAACACTGCAGTCTAGAAAGAAAATGAGAAGCCTCCACCTCACCTGTTGATAGACACTGTTGAAGTGCTCCAGGATGTAGTCCATGCTGCGTTTCTCCAGCACCTTACAGGAATGGGCCTCTGCGAAGCAGTGGATCCCCACACAGTTCATCTCGTCCATCTGACGCTCCATAAAACGACAGCAGGCCTCTCTCACGGCCATCACGTCCAGCAGGTTGGCGGCTGCCAGCAGAGCCTGAAGCACATTGATGTTTAGCACTCGTGTTGTTTAGTTAGGAGAGAAGCGAGGTGAGAGAGGATGCTGTACCTGCACGTTCGCTTTGGAGATGTAGACCTCTGACGTGTAGGCGTAGCTCACCAGCATCCCAATCATCTGAGGTTCTACTCCATTGATGGCAACCCGCTCCTGTTTGGACTCTATCAGGTCAGTGGAAAACATTGCCTGAGGGGGAAACACACACAGTTTGCAGGATTTTGGTAGCATGGTGCAGGACCTGGACTCTTTGTGCCTGTCCCTGGCACAACTCTGAGGGAGGCTGCGTTTACCGGTTATTACATGCCTGAATAGTAACTCTGTAGACCAGCTTCAGACAGTACACAACTCAGCTGCCAGGCTTTCAGAGTAGACCTGTTGAAACGCATCACCCTGGTTCCAAGAGTTATTTTTAATAACTTACACAGATCTTAAAGGTCTTACTCCTTGGTATATTACAGAACTTTCAGCCCCGTACAACCCAGCTGACATCTTGAGATTCTCTGGAAGGACTGTTCCAAGATTCTTGGCTGAAGACTGAATGTGGGACAGAGCTTTTGAAATAGAAGCCCTGCGGCTGTGGGACACCCTGTCTGAGGAAAGACGAAAGGCAGAAGCTTCCTTCCTTTTAGTTTTTATTATTTTTAAGGGTGGTCATGCTTCATTTCTAAAGTTCTGATGGTGCTTTGTAGTTCTGATATGTGCTATATAACTAAAAGGTGTTATCAGTATTATTACCTGGAAATAGGAGCTGAAAGAGGCCAGTACAATGCGATGGCAGGGGAACTCCTGTCCTCCACAGCACAGGGTCACATCGCAGAAGGCGTTGTTGAGCCGCAGGCTGTTGAGGCCCTGGAGGACGGTGCTGGGGTGTCGGGCCTCCACGAACAGGTAGTCCTCGCTGCTCAGGGGGGCCGGGGCGGCGGGGCCGGCGGGGGCCACGGGGCCGGGGTCCTCCTGCATCCGGAAGGTGACGTTCATCGCGGAGAGAGACGGCAAACCGGCGTTGACGGCGATGATTTCTGCCATGTCTCCCCCTCACTGCGAGTCAAAGCTCACAGAGTCAGAGAGAACACGTCGGGTGCGAGCCGCGGTGTTCGAATCCCGAGTAACTCACCTCTGATTTAGAAAGACATGAGGGGGAAGTCGCAGAAGAAGCGGCGACGCAGAGAGAGAGAGTCCGAGATTCCACCATTAGCTCACTAATGAGGCTTAGCTCAGGTGGAGCAGCTCGGCGGCGCTGACGAGTCAAAGCACCGAGGGGAACAGACGCGACGCGGCCACAGGTGACGGGGGGAGAAACCTCGCAACAGCTTCCACACGGACACGTGACTCCCGTTACACACGATCGTGACCACAACACTGAAAACACACTCCCGCGGTGATGAGCTACACACACCGGAAGTCCCTCCCACCTCCGCAGATAACTCCCTCCCTCACACTTCCTGGTTCGCTTCACTAAAGTAAATTAAATGGCAGATAAACTTGCAATGAAGGCTGCGGAAAAATAGCTGCACTCACCTCTTTCCAATATTTGCATTAAAACAAAGAGTAAAGCATAATGTTCAGGTGTGGCAGGCATATGAACAGGGGCGCTGCTAAAGATTTTGGGGGCCGCCCCGCAGCCTGTGTGAGCCTGTGAAATCCAGACTTCTTCAATGACCATGTGTCAGATCTACTGAGCTCTCTGAGGCCCCCCTATCTGTGAATGATATGTATATGTGTTGCCTAAGCACAAATACAATATTGGAGACAATCAAATAATCAATAAATAAAAAATGTATGTGTTGCAAATTCTAAAAATGCAACTGAGTCTTTTTGATGGTTTGCAAAAATTCACACAGAGAAAGATAATAAAAACAATTTATCTAATGAAAATAATAATTTCATCATTCCATCCATTGGGTTATCCTTTGAGGGTTGTGGGGGGGGGGGTCAACTGGCGCCAATCCCAGGTGACACTTGACGAGAGGCAAGACACAATATTTATTTGAAGACATGCATTATTTTATTTTATTAAGTTTTTAATTTTTTACATTTGTTTTTAGGAAAATAATCACAAGTAAGACCATTCACCATGTATCTAAAAGAAAGAAAACATTCACAAAGTCAGTATGTTGAGTAATAAATAAACTGGCACTATGGCTTGGCGTTTAGTCTGGTCTGGGGAAGTAGTGAACAATTTGAGGGAGGCATATTTTTTTTGCTTGTGATTTTATGTGAATTCAAATTTGCCCACAGTAGGAAAAAAGCTATTTTGCCATGATATGAGTCTGTGTTATTTAAATACTTACATTTAAATCAACAATCCTCTATAAAAAACAATATAAATCTGATTACTTTAAAATGTTTGAAGTCCTTTTGGGGGAAACAGTTTGCTGCATCATCTTTGTCTTATATAGAAAATCAAAAATAGTGTCTCCTTTAAGTTTCAAACATTAATATAAATCACTGTTCATGTTTTATTGGATCACAAGCAGCTGTCCTTCATGATGCCTGGAGTCTCCAGTGCATTCTTTCTATGAGCAACGGCTTCCAGGATCTTCTTCCTGGGTCCAAGCTGGATGCGAATGCCTTTCAGGTCGTCATCAGAGCAAAGCATGAGCGCCTCCAGGTCCAGGTGCTCTCGGTTGAATGCGGGGGCAAACTCTGTCAAGGAGATGGTAGACAAGAACAAATCAAGAGGAGAGGTTTCATCATCTTCATCATCGTCCAGGCCCAGATCTTCCTGCTCCCAGGGAAGATCAGCGTCACCCATCCCCTCAAAGCCTCCCGCATCTTCCTCCTCCTCGTACAGCTTGCTCTGAATGAGGAAGCCAAGGTTTTCATTGTTCCCACTGGGCACGTCACCCGAGTCCAGCCCCATCTTCTTCATGAAAATCAAACCTCCGAGCCCGGGCCTGTTGAAGATGGACTGTTTGACTTGGCCTGATTCTTCACTGTAATCATCTTCAAATCCTCCCAGTCCTTCTTCATCTGATACGTTTTCATCCTGCTCGTTGAAGACACCCAGAAACTCAGGGTTCTCAGATGCTCCATTCTCCTGCTTGAGGAATATAACGTTCCCATCTCCTCCTGAGCTCTGCACTGTGCCTTTCTCTTTCTTCCCAAGCTTCTTCTGGAGGGTGCCCCTGACCCTGGCTGAAATAGAGCCAGATTTAACCTTGATAAGCTCGGAGAACTGCTCACTGGGGCCCGACATGGTGCCACCGCTTGAGTGAGACGATGCCATGCTTTCCTCTGACACAGACCCGGTGTTGCCTGCTCCTCGCTGCATCTTCTCCATCTTGCTCTGGTGTTTCTTCTTCACCTTCTCACAGAGTTTCATTCGTTTCTCCGCTTCCTTGACAGCTTCCTTCTTTAGAGTGGCAACCTTCTTGGGGTTTTGATTGGTCTGCTGTGAGGCTGCGACGTCTAGGAATCGCACACAGTCCATGTGGTCACGAGAAGCCGCAACGTCCATGGCTGTGTGCAATTCATTGTCTAGTGCAAAAAGGTTGGCACCAAAGTTGACCAGAAAGCTGAGGATGTGCATGTGGCCATTGGCTGCAGCGTGGTGCAGCGGTGTGTTCCCCCAGATGTCGCTCCTGTTGGGGTCTCCTCTGTGTGACAGAAGAAGAAAATTTTTGATTCATAAACATTCGTTCATAGAAAAATGTATTTGCATTAGAAAATATTCATTTATTTGTATTATTTGATTTTATATGATGTTTAATATATTATTCATAGTATAATTCCTAAGTATCTATCCTGTCGGTGCATTCACACAAATAAGACAACCATTAAAGATAGAATAAGAATTTAACAAATATCAAATGTAATAAGCTACAAAAAAATGCATTCAAAAACAACTTGTACAACTTATAAAAACAGTATAGTAAGAGAGATTACTGTTGTAAAGATAGCTAATCTATTGCTTTATTACTTATTAATTACTCACGTATCTTTATTTATACCAAACCATATATAAAAGCGGAGATATCAGAATGGCTGTTTCCCCTTGTTTTCAATCTTTATGCTAAGCTAAGCTATCTATCTGCTATTGATCTTCTCACCCAACTCCTCCTGAGTAGGTGAATACATGTGTCCAGTCATTCTTTTGTAAAGCCAATGGAACATTTAAAAAAATAATACGTGACGTTTTTAAGGATAATTGGTCAGCTATTAAGATTTAAAGTCCTCCAGTTCTGTGCCTCAGTGTCACAGCAATAAAAGTCTTGATTGCTGTAAGTCCCTGTCATAAATTCTTCAGTTCACTCTGACCACATAGGTGAGTCATGAGTTATGCCTTACTAAATATCATCCAGACATAGTTACTTTACTTTTTTAGAAAGAATTCTGTGCTGTGTTTTTAGCCCATTTTTTGTTACAGGATGTGGGGGGGGGGGCTGATAAAGGGGTCTTTTGTTTCTTTGGTTGATTAAACATTTGGCTCAGCTCATGAGGGAGATGAGTATAAAGAGGGGAATGCAGATTTAGCTCATCACGGTGTAGTGGATAATGTGAACACAAACATGTGCTGTCAACAAGCCCTGAAACAAACTGATGTACAATATGAAAAAGCATGAAACACATTTTCAGCCGTGCAATAAAATTCTCTCTAGCCTATGAAAATGTTAACTTTTGCCTAGTGAATAATTTTTATGTTTTAACTGGTGAGTTTAGTCTAGCTCATCTTTTGAGAATCATACATAAAATAATACATAAGATTTTAGATTTCAATATTTAGAATTGCATGTCTGAGTGTAACAATATAGTTATCTGATATTCTTTGGAACATCAAAATATATAAATACAACTAAGGACATTAAAAAGTAAATGATTACTTTTTAATGTCCTTAGTTTATTATTAAATAAACAAAAGAATTTTTTGTGGCCTCAGGTTATTTGAGTCTATGGTAATGCATGGTGAAGAGCATGGGATAAAGCATATTATGCTTACTCTCTGCTGCATATGAGCTGAAGAGCATCGACATGTCCGTGGAAAGCAGCCAGCAAGGTGGGAGTCATGCCATCTTCGTCCGCAGTGTTCAGGTCCCTCCTCGTGGCCTCCTTCAAGAGGTCCAAGTAGCCATCGATCGCTGCCTTGTGGTACCTAGACATCTCTTACAGGAACTGAGCGGGACCCTTCCCAGACACAGACTGAGGCGACCGCAGACCCGAGCAAACAAAAGGGATCACTGGGCGTCAACATATCAGCAGCTCAGAGCCATAAAACAAAAGCAAAGTCCAGGTCAACGTTGTCAGCTGCAGCATATTCTCAGAAACCATCTCTGCTCGACCACCAGTAACTTAAAGCTTAACTATGACAAGTGAGATAAAGTCGAACAGTATGGAGGCATGTTCTGTTTTATCCAGTTGTTTTTTAACGTTTGTAGAATTGCTCACCATTTACTCCAAAAGTGTTTTGTGGACTCAAACACCTCACCAACCCCTCCATCTGCATACTGATGAGTAGATAATGAGTGGATTTTCGTTTTTGGGTGAACTATCCCTTTAACCTTTTTTTTAATCCCCTCTCTCTCTCTCTCTCTCTCTCTCTCTCTCTCTCTCTCTCTCTCTTTACTCCTCCAGCCCAGCAGGTGGTGGTGTTGCGGCTTGTTAAACAAATCAGGAATAAACCAGAAGAAGAACTTATCGACTCTGTTCAGTGACCAATCAATGGACGGGCGGAAGCTCGGCTCGTCACCTCTCTCTGGGTTTGTAAACATTATGTGACTGTCGCTGTTAAGCCTAGTTTATGCTTCTGCGTCACGTCGACGCCGTACCTACGTTCACTTCATTCCTCACAGCCGGAACAACCGGGTCGACAGCCGGCAGTGATCCCCGGGCAGCAGCTCCTCCACGGTTCACTTCCCGGTCTCTGCTGCGGGCGTGTGTGTGACTTGTGACCGGCGGAGAGTGCAGATATGTCGGATAACGGCGGCTCGGCTGTCGGCCTCCTGGCCTACGAGACGCTGGTTCACGCGGTGGCGGGAGCAATGGTGAGCGACGGATGTCAAGTGTCGTAAGGTCGCGTGAAGAGAACATGGAGATCCACTGAGTGTCTGTGTGCTTTGTCTTTCAGGGCAGCGTGACGGCGATGACCGTCTTCTTCCCCCTGGACACGGCCAAGAGCAGACTGCAGGGTGAGTGTCCTCGGCCTGGACCGAGGTTCTCTGACAGCAGCCGAACCTCTCCACAGGAGGTTAAAGGGATAGTTCACTGGAAAGTCAAAATGTCCTCATTATCTACTCACTGTACCGATGGAGGGGTGGGTGAAGTGTTTGAGTCCATAGAAGTCTTCTGGAGTGTCAGGGGTAAACAGTGTTGCAGACAAATCCAGTGGATTTGGATGGTGACCGATTATGCAAACGTAGAAACACATGACATGCCTCCATTATGCTCCTGTGGTGTCATCCAAGTGTCCGTTAATCCCGACATTCAAATCAAACGGCATCATTTACACCATCACTTCAGCCTTAATGTCGCAGGTCCAGGATATCAGAGGCGTCGAACATGTAAAGGAGCAGTTTACTCAGACTCTAGAAAAGCATATCCTCTGCTGCAGAACACCTCATACATCCCTTGAGGCCTAGTGGTGTTCCTCATGACCGGTGAGGTGATACTGGTGTAAGGGCCCTTTTAACTTTCACCTACTTCATACAACTTGTTTATCTTTGTTTTTCAGTGGACGAGAAGCGGAAGTCAAACTCCACCCCTATCATCCTGGCTGAGATTGCAAAGGAAGAAGGCCTGTAAGTAAAGTTTAGTGTATAAGTATAAATATAACAGAAACCATAAACCAATCGACTTGGTATGATTATAAAACGTATGATGTAAATGAGTAGGATCTAGAGCTACAACAGTCAAATTACCACATAGTTTATAATCTGCAAATCAATGAGCAGCGTTGTTTCATTGACCAACCATTTAGGTTTAGCTCTTTTGTGTATTTTCTGGTGCTGCTATAGACCAGGGGATGTGTACGTTGCAGCACTAGTCTCAACCCTCATGTTTTGACTGAATTCTCTTCACGTCTTCCAGTCAGTCTCTGTACAGAGGCTGGTTCCCAGTCATCTCCAGCCTCTGCTGCTCCAACTTTGTCTACTTCTACACCTTCAACACGCTGAAGAGAGTGATGGTCTCTGGATCAGGCAGGTCCAGACCCAGCAAAGATCTGCTCATGGGAATCGTAGCAGGTAATTCGTATATATAGTAAATCTCAATTTCATGAATGAAGCCATCAAACACTACGTATTAACAGTTCAGAGTTGTCTCTAGTGGTGGAAAACCAATGTTTGCTCTTGTTTTGCTTCTTTTGTCTAACAATCTGGTGTTCATGCAGGGGTGGTGAATGTGGTCCTGACCACTCCCATGTGGGTGGTCAACACTCGACTGAAGCTGCAAGGGGCAAAGTTCCGAAACGAGGACCTCCAGCAGACCCAGTACAAGGGAATACTTGGTGCGTGATGTTCATACATTCCGTATTATAGTTTCCCAGTTCAGACATGTTTTGTGTTGTTACTGTTCAGTCGTAAAATAACCTGCTGTGTTTCAGATGCTTTCTCGCAGATCATAGCCAAAGAGGGAGTGGGAACTCTGTGGAACGGCACTCTGGCCTCTCTCATCCTCGTCCTCAACCCAGCTGTGCAGTTCATGTTTTATGAGGCCTTGAAGAGGAAGGCAGGCAGGGGAGGGAGGAAGGTGAGAGGACACAAGAAGCAAGCCGTGTTTGTTTTTTATTTTTCCAGAGATATTATTTCATGCCTCATGGGCTGAGATCCTATTTGAGTAGAAAAACAAAACTTGTTACATGACAAGTTAAGACAGTTTTGTGTTATTGGTTTTTATAAAGTGTTGACTGAAAGAACGAGATTGCAAATACAAGCATCCAAATGAGATTTCTTCACTTGGTGGCCAGGCTCAGGACATCCGGAGGGAGCGCAGAGTAGAGCCCGCTTCCATTTGAGGTTTACTGGGCATGCCCAACAGGGAGGAGACCCCAGGGTAGACCTGGAACTCCTTGGAGGGACTAAATATCCCCTCTGACCTGGCAATGCCTCTGCATCCCTCAGGAGGAGTAGCCTGGCAAGAGAGAGCTTATGATTTTGGATAAGCGAAAGATTATGGATGGGTGCTTTTTTTTAATAAACTAATAAAGCTTCATGTTGCATTGTCATCTTTGTTGGGTAACTTGCGTCATCGTCGGGTGAAACAATTAGTAACTGAATTATATCTTTGTCTCTGACCACAGATATCTTCAGCAGAGATCTTTGTCATTGGGGCTATTGCCAAGGCCATTGCTACCACGGCAACGTATCCTCTTCAAACAGTTCAAGCCATCCTGAGGGTAAATACTATCATGTCAAACTTTGCACTTTTTACATCATCAAGAGAGCACAAGGTGGATGATCTTCTTTTAATTATTGTCAACGAATCTCATAAAAAGACCAAATGCAAATAATCTCCTGTTTAGATTTGTTTGTTTGTGTAAAAGCTATAAAAAACACTTTAATGAGCCACACCGTTGTAATGAGTGTCAGGTTTATATAAAGACTATAGTGTTAAACAAAGCTGATCGGGTTGCCAGGCAACTATTCCGACAACCAGCGGAGGCTAAAGTGATTTACTGATCTAGAACATACACTGTTTATAAAGATGGTCGACACTGTCCCACTAAACTCCCAGGATAATATCCCAGATAGGAACGCTTCCATCTCGCCTTCTGTATTCTCAGTGTATTTTAAAGCAGGCAGATGTGATATGGACACAAATGCTTTATTATCTCATGACTGCATCAGTTCTTTAACTCATATCTCAGTAAAATAAGATGACTTGGTGTGTGTTCTCTCAACAGTTCGGTCAGTACAAAGGCGACGGAAAGGGCGGTTTGACTGGAAGCCTCTCGAGCATTTGCTCCCTGTTCATGGACAGACTCAAGTGAGTGCTGCTGAATTAACCCACACACAAACAAAATATGATGGTTTCTTATTCAAACCTGTTTTCTTTATGACAGGAGGAACGGTGTTCTTGGTTTGTACAAAGGCCTGGAGGCCAAGCTGCTCCAGACGGTACTGACAGCTGCCCTCATGTTTGTAGTGTACGAGAAGATCACTACAGCGACCTTCAGGGTCATGGGTCTGAACAAGAAGCTGAAGTAGTGAACAAACGCCCACTTCAGTGCAGCACGGCATTAATACAGTTGTAAGTGGGTTTGTTTGTGCCAGAAATTATAGTGGTCACATGAGACACAAGAGTTGAGATTTGGTTCCTTTGGGGCAACAGACTCTCACTTGCCCAAAAAAACCCAGAGAGGTTCCACTCATGTTTCTAACCTAGTTCCATCTGTGCAGACTGCCCCAGGATATCAGATCTGTTAAGTCTAACAGAGATACATTTGGTTGACTCTGGTCTTAATAAAATGGAACCATCTAGAAACAACATTAATGTCGCCATGATTTAATTTAGCTCTGTGATGGAGTAACGACCTGTCCATGGTATTCCCCACCTCTCACCGCGACCCTTAAAGAAGTAGAGGTAGAGCTTAACGCCAATGATTTCATTTGCACATAAAGACCGAGATTCACTTGCCTTCAACGAAATTATATTTTACCATCAGATGAGATCTTGGAACTAGTTGGGGAAAATATTGCATTCTTTGGAAAGGGAAGGTTTAACATTTTGGGAGAGTTCCATGAGAACTGTCTCTCTCTCATATCTACACATTAAATATATATTCTCCCACCACATCTGGATTACCAAACGGGCAAATGCTCATAAATCGCAAGCAAGGTTGAATTATTTTAAAACACATTGTAAGAATCGAAAAACTCCACCGACTGAGCTGAGAAACTGTCTGTGACACAACTCTGGAGAGTGAATAAGCATTAACAGCAATTTGCCCCAAAATGTCAAACTTTTTCTAGGTTGTGTCTGAAATGATGAGACCAATAACTTACCTCCTCGTGTGTTGCCTTGATTTAGACCACTGGATAATTCCTCATACACTCCGTCAAATGTTTAACTGTGAAATTAACTGCGTTTGACGTTTTGCAAGGTGAGAACCTCGTGAAGCGCACAAGATGCACGAGACCTCGTTATTACTCACAAATGAGCAGTAACAACAAAACTGGTGAAAGATTGAAAGAATTGATATTTTAGTTTTGTGTGTAAAGTCTGCACCTATTACTCCAGACTAGAAAGCTTTTAGTTTTCATAATTATAATACATTAATATGAATATTAATGTATTTCATATTACTTGGAATGAGTCCATAAAGTAAACTGTAAAGGTTACAGATTTGATAATACCACAGTAAGTGCCTGTTAATTGTATGATAAAAAACTGTACTATGAGTACTGTGATGACTGTTGATGTTTTACATTAACCGTGATGCACTGTGTTATCAATCTATGGTTTTTATGATTGGTCCTCTATGTAGAGAACACACTGGCAGTGATTTACAGTATCAGTTCAGTCTGTGCTCTTTCTGTGAGTTAGTGAACGGATGTTTCTGCAGCCATGGTTCTTTCTTCCTTTTTTTTTTCCATTACAAGAGTTACTGTTCTCAACACTGCTGTATGACATCATATTCAGGAGATTTACAGTCTTACATCTGTTGTGCCAGTGGTGAAACCCAGGTGCCAATTTACATACTACAGATGATTCATTTACTGGATCTGAGCGTCTGTGCCTGATGGGTTGGTTAGTTGTGAAGATTTTTTGTTTTTATGCGTCTACTGTCTGGAAATTCATCAAAGGACATCCACCACAAGATGAACGCATTTCTAATTCACAATATCAGTAGAGCACATACCTCCTCCACGGCCCCACACTCCCCTCATGAAACCACAATTGATTCTGCACCAAATTGCAAACGCTCATAAAGATCAGAGAAATCAAAGGAAATTAAAAAAAATATGTTTAACTGGTGCAAACAGATTAAGCCACGTGTGATTATGGGAAGATGAAATTAGCTTTATTTAATAGAAGATAAATTTGTCACTGTTAGTTAGACAACAGAGAAGGCAGTGATGCATTTGAACATGTTTTGTTTGAAGAGTTTACATAAAAATATTTGTAACTGCTGATGCAATTCTTACTTGAATTCAGTTTCATTTATTTTCAACACATTTTTTAAAAATGTTTTCTAATTTTGTTTAATTCAACATAACAATTGACTGTTTTGGGATTTTATATTATTGTTATAACCAGGGAATAATAAAGTTTGTGAAACTGTTGACACCACACTGTGTTGTTTTTTTTACATGAAAAACCACAGCTCTCTTTCAAATGATGAACGAATACCATGGCAGGAAATACTTGGCGTGAACTCGAAGAAAACGCATTTTCTCTCCAGTCACCAAGCATACAGTTTTCATCACGCAGGCCGAGCTCAGCTTAACCCAGGCCGTGTTCTCCAATTTCTGCTTCCTGTTTGCACTGACACACGAACATACCCAGTGTGTGTGAATGATCATATGCTAAGTATCCCTCAGAATGATCATGATCTCTATGCAAGCTGCACAAGTTAAATTGTCCATGCATAAAATGACAAAGTATTTTGGTTAAAAAAAATCCCTCCATTGGAGGCCACAATATATCAAGAATTCTGTTTGACCAGATATTATAAATCAGGACTGATGATGTGAGTCTCGACTGCTGGTCATCTCCTCGATATACCAGCGGGGCAGGAATGAATACGGGGAGTCCCTGTGGATGGAGTAGGTCACATCTCTGTGGGGATCCCAGGAGAACAGGTACACCACACTGGGAGGGAAACAATTATTCAGTATTAGAGAACTAAAAAAATGGAAAAGGTACAATGTTGTCTGTATCACTGGAACTCACCTTGGGTTGTCTTCAGTAGCCACATGCTTCACGAAAGACAAGAAATCACAGCAGAAGTTCATACAGACTGTCGGCTTCCAGCAGTTATATTCATTCTGTTCAGAGAGAAAACACAAGACAGTATAAATAAATTGTGGGATGATACATTTTCTTTTGGGAATTTCATTACTTAATAGACAAGACTTCCAGTTTACAGCCATGCAAGTGGTTTTCTTTAGAGACTAATGCATCTTACTTAGAGGTTTTTTGTGCTAATATTTGCTGACGATGATAGGAATGCTATTTGTTTGATTTCTGAAGGTCTTTAAAGAAAATGATGACGTCAGGGAAACACACAAGTAAGAAGAAATCATCCTCTGCAAGAAATTTATAATTTCATGGCAATCTTTCTGATATTTGTAGACATTTGACTAAAAACTGGCATTAACATCCCCAGTCCCACAACTCAAGCATGACTACAGTAAAATCCAACTCATGTCTCCACACTTAGTTTAGGTTTTCAAACTGCTACACAGTACCTTGATGAGATGTGATATCTTGGAGATGTGAAAAGTCTCCACAGAAACAACCACTCCTTCATGATCCCGCAAACCTGCTATAACGCGAGGGACCCCAGGGAGGAACGACTGTGCCCACCACTTCAGCAGTTTGAACCTAACGTGCACAAACAGTGATGAATGATATTTTAAAATATATTTATTTATATTTAAAACTATAATTCCTTAAAAATTGAAATATCATGATCACGAGAATAGGACAGACAGACAACCCAAAAAAACAAAATGCCTCCGGCTATCAGCTGTCAATGGTACAGAGGCATAAAAATTGTGTTATGTTGCCTTTTCCTACATCATTGTTCACCTGTGGAAGTTGCTGCGTTGTTTGGGGGTGCAGATCTCTGCAGAGGTCTTGAGCTCGACGTAGCAGGCAGGAGGAGCTGGAGCATTGGGATCTTTATCCCGACAGTCCACCTCACCGGAGAACAGAAGTCTGTGATCCGCGAGCCGAGTCTGCACCACAGTGCAAAAGGCCTCATTCGTGTTGACCACACCACTCGGGTCAGGTAAACTGTGAAGCTTATCTACAGGGGTGCATAAGAGTGAAGTGTTATCATTCACTTTATGTGCATTGGGTTTGTGTGTCACATGTATTATACTTGACATATATGGAAGCCCATTTCTGCCAGGAAGTAAAAGCCATGAGATACTAGTATCTCATGATTTAGAAACACAAGAGTAATACATGAGTACTTCTATTTTTGTCTGTAAGAACGTTTCAAATGTTTTTCCTTTCTTGGATAAAATGGGCTTCATAGAAAGGCTATTTATTTTTATTGTTAAATGTTTAAATCGTATTTACCTGCACATGTGTATTGCTCAAACTTGTACCCCCAGTACATCATCTCTTCGTGCCTCTCAGTCCGGTTCTCTCTGTCCCTCCGAGCAGCCTCTGTTTCCACTTCACTGATGTAAACGGTTCCTTTAAACATGGTGACTGCCAGCAGCCAGCCCTCCCGTGTCTCATAGGGAGTGGTCAGCAGCTTGGTCAGATGACCCCGCCATGTCACAATGTCGGCATCTAAAGCACTGGGAAGAGCATGTGATCAAAGAACATGTGCCCAACAGGTAAACACAGTTGTCTTGAGACTATAGATTGCAAGTTAGTATCTGACTGTCCGTGCACTAACCGTGATGAGGCCGTGGTCGCACTTGGGATGCACTTTGTTTTATTGGCTATGATCCAGCGCAGGATGTGGTCCAGCTTCTCCTTCACGCTGTCGTCCCTTTTTATAAAGCGGTCCTTGTATCCATCCCTCAGGTCAAAATTGGGACTTCTCTCAGGTCCCTCATAGTATCTCATCTGCCTGTCGTCGTTGAAGAATCTGCGCTCAGCATCGAGGGAAAAACATCCTACTTCGACGGGCTGTTTGTAAACTGGAAAGTCTCTTTCATAAAGCTCCCTTCTGGTGCTCAAACTCTGGGAGCCGAGCGGGTGTTGCTCTGGAGCTGATCCAGACTGACGCTGCTGCTGCTGGCTTGGTTTTAAGTGTTTATTCTCATGGTGATTTCTCCAACCGTCGCCTCTTTCTCTTTTGTACGCTGACCGCTGGCTGGAGTTGGGATTGTGGGATCGATGGTGGTCCATCGCTACCTAATGGGGAGAAAAGAAATGACTGTCAGGTCATTTAGATGGTCTTGATATTCTCTCTTATTACTCTTGTGCAGGAAAACCACAACGTGATCTGCCTCATCATCACTTGTGTCGGCAAAGCTGACATTGTTTGAAATCTGCTGAAAGGATATCTTCACACACAAGACTCTTTATCCATCACCTGACATCATTTCTCCCATGTTCCTTTTTCTCCTCATCTCAGGTAAAAGTATATTCACTTTCTAGTTCACCATTTGTTACCATGTCCTATCTTCTTCTTCTTCTCTGGCCTCATCGTGTACATAAAACATGCTCATAGTGTATTCTGTATTCAACACTTTGTTAAACTCACTTTTGCTGCTGTGACTCTGACATGTTCCTGCACAGGTTGATCTTATTTACTCTAAAATAACATGTTGATCCACGTAAACATCTGCCTGACTTGTGTTTCTGTGGATACGTGCACATTCCTGAAGTAAAAATGGAGGTGTTTTATATTGTTAGCAGTTAGCAGTGTGTGTCTGCGTTGTGTAAACACATACACACACAGCGCATTGTTTTCTCATGAATCTTCACGAAGCCAAAGAAAACCCACCTTGGTTAGCAAACACGGCAGCTAAGCTAACCTTATCTTCATCTCAAGTCCGCCACGATGATAAACCGAATTTAAATCGCATTTAAAAAAACGACCAGGATGTTTTTCCAGCAACTCTTCTGATGAACATAACAAAACGTGTGATAAGGAGACAGAAATAAATAACGAACGAGCTAATTTCGTTTCGCTTGCTGCAGAGCTAACTAGCATCGTAGGCTAACAACAAACTACCGTGTGCGGTTTCTCCTCCAGTGCGCCAGATGGCAGCAGTGACACCTCCTCCACGCAACAGAGCAACGACGAAGAAGAAGACCCGTTGAGTAGTTTCTGGTGTTGGAGCTGTGATCAGTGCAGAAGAAGAAGAACGGGACACCATGTGAACGGGAACGTCACCGATCTTGACAGCTGCCAGGTACGTGCTTCAACTAGTTTGAATTTGCGTGTGTCTGCGCGCGCGTGTGTGTGTGTCAGTGAACGGGCGAGGTTGTGTTGCTTAGCAGCTAGCCGCATTAGCTTGGCTAACAATAAAGCGACCCAACCGGTGGGTCCTGTATCCGGATCCACCTGTGTTTCACCAGCGCCTGGGTTCAGTCTCAGAGCTGTAATTTGGGCTTTAAACGTAAAATGGTGACTTTGTAACAGATGAGTTCGGACACGAGTCTTCGTAAAGTCGCAAAGTGGCTTCGTCGTTTTTCCCGTTATTATTTTACAGCAGGAAATAGAGGTGTCACGTGTTCTTGTAAGAATATGTTCTGATTACACACAGTTACAGGGATAGTTCACCCAAAAAATGAAAATTCACATTATCTACTCCACAACACACTCGAGGAGTTTCAGGGGTAAACAGCGGTTCGACTTCAGGTCATGACCTCTCCACCATTATTTCTCCTCCAGGTATGAACAGGAAACGGGCTTTGATTTCAGACACTTTCAAAGTGAAGAAAAGAAGACATGGCACAGAGAAGTTCGGAATCATCCGCGAGGGAGACGGTAGGTGTGGCCGCAAGGATGTACACAGAACATCTCTCTCCTTTTGGGATTATTGTCCATTCACTGACCATCCATGTATATCTTCGCCTCAAAGGGCCGAACGACATCAGATCCACGCTGCAGTACCTCATGACACTGTTTCCCAGAAAGCTCTTCAATGACACCCTACCTCAAATTGTGCTGAAGCATCAACTCTACAGTATACACCATGACAAGACTTCAGTGGACAAGGAGGTGGTAAGTTCATGTCAATGTTTATTAGAGATGTTCCAGTATCATTTCTCCCTCCCTGATGCTGCTTCAGACACCTCGACTTCATCTGATACCAGTGCGTAAAAAAACAAATCTTAAAAAAACATATTTTAACAGTTTTATGGCGACTACTCCATATGTCAGTGATGATGGTGGATCCTTGTTCTTTGGCCTGTTGCTAGTTTTGTAAGTGATGCTAGAGCCATCCCTCAGAACTGGAGTCTTGCATACAGCACACGTCATCGTGGTCACTCTAAATAACGCTACACTACCAGAAATCACTTCTTCTTAACCCCTCTAAAAACAGTACCGGTGGCAGAACTGCTGTTTTGAAGTAGTGAAGACGAAGTGATTTCTCTGGGGGAGAAATTGCAGTTTTAGCCGGATGAAACAAATATTCTTGGTATTGGAATCTATGCATTAAACACAAACCTGGCTTTTTTTGCCAGAATCTGAGGCATTTCTGTTGTTGGTATCAGGACATTTCTTATGTTGACGTATCAAAATGTGAAAGTAGACACCACTTCCACCCTTGTGTTTACAGAATAAACTGCGGGAACAAGCAGAACTGCTGATGTTCCAGCTCGGGTTTGATACGGAAGCTTTCGGGCTGATTTTCGCCTCAGACTACAAGGCCAAAGTGCTGGCAGCCGAGGAGGGAAGGGTGACACGAGCGACGGTGGAGAAGTTCCTGGAGAAACTGTTAACCTCCTCTTGCACAGATCTGAGCTTCAGCAAAGACAAAATGATCAGAGAGTTCCTCTTCACAGACTCTGAGATAACGTATGAAAGATCCTCATCTCTTTACTTTTTGTGTACTTGTCGAATAAATATATGTTTCTACAAAAAGAACTCATCTTTTTGAGGACTTTCACCACCACATTTTAAACTGAACATTTGGAAAATGGAGAAAAGGTTATGAAGATGTTTACAACTTTGGACATTGTGCAGACAAGAAAACACTTACAATGGATGCAGACAGTTACATTTGATCTGTACAAAAGAGCAAATGTGCCAAGATGTACTTTTTTATTTTAGTCTTAACAGTTTGAAAATTCTTTACATCTGAATCCTCTTTTCAAATATCAGCACATGCTTTGTTTTCTCGACACCTAGGCAGCTGGTGAAGTCAGGGGTCCTGACTGTGAGGGACGCAGGCAGCTGGTGGCTGTCCATTCCCAACTCAGGCAAATTCACCAAGTACTTTATACAAGGTGGGTGTCAGGGAACGGCGTCACATAACCGTTATAAACATTAATTCATACCTCTGTCAGTTACACTTTTTAAAGGGCAGCAGACTTAAAAAGAGAACCGTAACATGTCATGCACTTGTTTTTTGACAGTGCCTTGTGAATTGGAGAATTAGTTTGTTTCTAACCCCCCCCCCTCCTGCTAGGTCGCAAAGCTGTACTCGCTATGGTGAAGAAGTCTAAATATAGTGAAGTGTTGCAGGCAGAGCTAGAGGAGCGACGAACAACCTCTCAAGTGAAATTTCACATGAAATACCACATCCACGACATTGTTGGTGCAGATCTGGTGGAGAGGTAATATTTCTTTGCTTACTTGGATGCTAAGAACAGGTTCTTCATGCAGCTGCTCTCTGATTTATGATCCTCTCAGTCAGTTCAGTAATTGATCTTGTTTTCTGTTACAAGATCGGACACACTCAAACCCTTACTCAGAAAATCATGCACATAAGCTACTATTGCTTATAACTCAAGTCAAAACATCTGTTGTTTCCGTCAGTGTTTTTTTTTAACGTCTAACCTGTACTCTGCTCTTTAAGAATCCAACATTTACCTTCATTTACTCTGTTTTCTTTCTAGAATATCGACAACTTCAGGGGCATTGTTGCGATTTGTCGATTCCTGAGGCTTTGCATCGAGACAGAATCAGCGGGTGACTGAAGACGTGACACTTCCCAAGATGAACTAATCTTGTGAAACGTGTTTGTATGAAGACTCAGAGTTAAAACGATTTCTTGTGTAGATTCTGTGCCAAATGTTGTATAAAAAACCTTGTGGGTTTATGAATTGTCAATTATGTTGACATGACCATGTCAGGATTTCATTCATCCTGTAATAAAGAAAGATAAAAAATGTTTCTGTCCCTCAAGTATAAGAGTTATGACTTGTGCACACCATGAAACCACTTTGATACAACAGTCGTCTGTGTGGAGTTTGAACTTTGGCTGAGCCGTTGCTCTCTGTAATCTGTTGTCAGGTTTAACAGGCATGAAGAAGCCTGAGCCTCTCATCTGCTTAATTCTGTTATTTGGGTCTTTATTCCTTGACAGGTTCAGTTTCAATCATGAAAAATCATCTTCAAATCTTTAATAGAATGGTTCCACTGAATTAAAAAAAAAGGATTTTACAGCTGTGCAGTAACTTAAATGTCAAGTTTCATGTGTTCTATCAGTCGCTACATCCACTGAACTGTAGGTCAGGAATAATTGAAGAGAAGGGGCTGATTCATTTAATTTTGAAACTATGAAAAGGCAGAAAACCATGGTAACACATTCTGTAACCGAAAAAGGAAAGAGCCACATTCACTTTTTATAACAATGTCTGAAGAACTCACTGTATTTTAGGTCTCAGTAGTACTTTGTTTGGCTGCCACAAAGTTATTTCCACTATCAATTAATCTGTTGATTCTTAAACTGTCTTTTGTTCAATCAATGACCCAGAATCCAAAAATATTCTATTCATTATGTTTGACTCAGAAATGTTCAACATTTGACTAAAATAATAGTTTGGCTATCAAACCTTGATTTTCCGTGGGCTGCTTAGTTGTTGGTGTTACAGGTTTTAAATCAAGAGAAAAAGAAGGTTCCATTCGTCAACAAAGAGTCGGTTTTTTTCAAGAATTTATTGGCTTTTTCAAAAAGTGACAATAGCTTTTATCCATAAAACTAACAAGTCACAACATTGGCTTGAATTAAAGCACAGCTTGATGTCTGAATACAATACAGATGAGCAACATGTACTTAACCCCTGATCTAGTAGTTCAAATACATTTTGTAAATAGGCAAAAAATATAACTGTAGCAATTCTAATCTTAGTTTTCAGTATATGTTGCACATACATGCTATCAGCATTAATTACAAAAAGCTAGGCTTGCAGGGAGATTAAGGTAGCGTTAACTGTAGAGGTAATAAACAAAGGATATTCATAGTGTTAGTTTAACAATACAGTGAGTGAAGTGTGATACAAAATAGTCAATCACATGATTATAACAAAAATGAGTACACTGTATACTACACCATAACCGACAGTAGCTTTGTTACTGCTCCTTAGTGACATTGCTTCGCCAGTAGTGATGCTATTAAAAATCAAATGTGCTGAACAAACGGTTTCTGATAAATGCCCACAGAGCATGAAAGGTGCTCTTGATCCCCACCACCAAAACACTTACACAGTTCTAATCCAATATCTAGTTAACTTTTCAGCTTTGCACTCGTGGGCAGCTAAACAGTTGAGATATTTCTCGGGTAAGATCTCAAAGAGGAAAGAAAAATACCATAAACTCGACAAATCCGATTGGAGCCAAACACATAGAATACTGGATCCTTCAGGTTTTGTCAGGGATGAATAGCACTTAAAGAGTCAGCTGATGTTTCTGCAGAGTGAATTTTCAATATGTCTCTGTCATCTTCACACCTATGAAAATGAATCATCATTCTTCATGTTCTAGGGCTGAAAACAAACTTCCACAGATCATGGTATATGAATGGTAAATTTGAGACAAAAAGGACTTTACAGATGTTTACTTTAGATTCCTTTTTGAGCGTGTGATGACACGCGATTGCTCTAGACAAGTGAAACTGAAATGAATCAAATATAAATCGGTGATGAAGCTGAAACAAACAGCAGCACAAAAGTTTTCAGCTGTATTTCGGAGGTTTGAGACACAAGAATAACAGTTTTGTTTTTGGCTAAAATACAGTATGTGTGCAGAATGTATTTGGCAATGTTTCTTCCACTCAAAACAAACAACCAAGACTGTAAACAAAAAGAGAAGGTGGACAACCAGTGGAAGAACAAATTGAAAACATTCCACGGTCAAAGGTTTTTTTTTTTTTCTTACAAAACATCCAATTCATTTCAGAAGGCCTCAAGATTTTCATAATTTCATAGTCTCGTCTATACAGTATACGCTGTTAAAAAAGAACTAGGGTCTAAAATCATTCAACCCCTCATCCGAAATCTGACCCTTTGTCAAATTCGCCATGGAAACGGTTGGTAGAACAGCTGTCGCTACGCTGATGGAAAAAAGGAAACTGAAGCACATTGTTGTGTGTGTGTGTGTGTGTACTGTTGTGTTTCTGTGTCATTAGCCACCCTCACCACTAGCTGTCATGTTCCCCTGTAACCGGTTCAAATGGAGGATGTTTTAGAGGAGAGAGCACATCTTCCTCTTCTTCTTGACAGGTGGAGGGCAGAGGACGGCCCTGATGGCCTCGTCAAACACAGTTTTAAGGCCACGCTGGGTCAGAGCTGAGCACTCCAGGTACTTGACGGAACCTGAGGGAAACGCACAGAGGAATCGGTTTAATGTTTTCCTTTTAAACACTTCATCTTAAAAGACCAGATAATGAGCCAGCTCTGTTACCAATCTCTTTGGCCATTGCCAGTCCTTGGGGATAGCTAATGGGAGTGAGTTTCTTCTCCTTCAGCTTCTCTATGGTGTCCTTATCATCTCTAAGATCCAGCTTGGTGCCAACCAAGATGATGGGAGTGTTGGGGCAATGATGTCTCACCTCAGGGTACCACTGCACAGAAACCACAACACAGGTTAGAGGTTTACTTCTCACACCTTCTGGTCATCTTTAACACACAAGTATTATTAGCAACAGATGCAGCAGTGGCTGGAACACAGTGACAGTGTTTGTTAAGAGCGAATTTAAAACACTAGTTGATCTTCTTGGCCACTCACATGACACTGTAAACACTGACATTTAGTATTACAACCAATAAGGCTGATCTGTTAAACTTGGTAACAAAAAGTTGCTCATAAACATTTATCCAGAAGATATAATTCTGTTTTATGACCAGCTGGTAAATCTACATCCAATATACCTTTTTCTTTTAACTCCGTTTCTGGTCTCAACCATTTCACGACAGAAATATGCCTCAGCAGAAGAATGCTGCGCTGTGTTCACAACTAGTTATTAACTGTTTCTGTCTGTGGTTTGGTGATGAGCAGTTAGTGTGTGCTGGGTTCAACGGAGTCGTTTAACTGAAAAGTGCGGCTGGCTGATGCAAAGGTCAATGCTATGAGAGTGAAACCAGAACAGAAAAATCATGGGCCAGAAACCCGACATGGGCAGAGTGGGATTTTAATCTCCTGCAGGTACTCCTGTAACCCACTGCTTTTATCAAAATGGTGAAAATAGTGACAAATAAAACATTCTTCAAGTTTGTGAAAAAGACTTAAGCTTAAGCCTGGCTCAATAAGAGTTAACTGGTTTTACAAAGCTTAACACCTGTGTCTAAAGAGCTGACAATTCTTTAAAATGCTATATGTGTGAGAAACTGCTGTTTCTGGAGACTTTTGCTTATTATACAAGGACAATATTCTCTTAACAAAGGGTTGAAAATTTGTGTTTGTTCCATTATATATGCCTTAAATAATTTGGTGAGGGTTTACAACATGTTCTCGTGAATATGGAAAGTAAATATATTGCTGCATGTTTCCTCCTTTGTCTCACCAATTTACATTAATAAGTAATACACACAGTTGAGTGCAGCTCTTTCTGCTGCCATAGCTACAGACGAGAACTGCTGCTAATCTCACTGGGAACTGAAACTGTCTGCTCGATCTGACCAAATGTTTATTTATAATTTATTAGGAGCAAATGGGCAGTGTGAGCCAACATCTCACCGACTCTAAAAAGATTTCAAAGTTGTCTCATGTAACCCTGAGTGATGGTGATCAGGCATTCAGACCAAAAACACCCCTTCATTTAAACTGCACATGGGCTGATTTAATGGAGACGTATTGTTCGGACCGGTGAGACAATAAAATAAAATCCATGGTCCAGTAACAGACTTATGCATTTAAAAGTTTAAAAGATGCCAAAACACAACCTTGACTTGTAGACAGTATTTTATCATATATCATAACAGTATAAAGTATATTTTGCTGCAATGATCACAAGGGAAATAGCAGAAAACAATGGTCACGTTAAGTTAATAGTTAAGTAAAAAAAAATTTACTCCAACACGAATGTGCACTTTTATGTATATAATTGGCCAATGCAGTGCCAACGCTGAGTTGCAGTGAAAACTGTGCCTGGCAACATTTTTTGGCTGGAGCCCTCTTGCTGTGTTTGAGAACTGGGTTAATTTAAATGAATGGGAGAGATATATTGTGCGTGTAACCTCATGTCGGTCAGAAAACAGCCCAAGAGGATAAATGCCGAATGTTCTGAACCAGTCACTGTCACGACTGAAACCATGACAGAGCAATAAAAGCAGCGTGGAATGTCATCTATTTTAAATGTGGTCAGCACCCTTAAATTAAAAACTATGTCTTAACCCCGGTGTGGACAAATGGGCAACAACATTTATTATGTCATGATTTTCTTTAAGAGCAAATTCATTCAACTGATTAGTCAATATGTCACTCACTCATTGTGTGTCACTTTGTCAGCACGGTCATTTTGCATTCTTTATAAATGCTGACAGCACAATTACAATTTAAATCCCTCAAGCTAACAATGTTGTGTAATCAGATACCCTGACTGACTGACTATCCCAAGATGATTGTCTAGTGCACTATCCTCATCAAACTTCCATCTATAGTGATCGTGATGATGCTTTAACTGGAATGAGTTTGTTAGGTGGAACAGGAAGCTACCAACCAGATCAGCACCAAAGAATCTGATCAACACAAGATTAAATCGGTGACTTTTGAAGTTACATCATATTCCAGACAGATTTTCATCAGAAACCAGTGTGCACATACATCTTAGCTGAAGGTCTTCCAATGAAAACAGGCTTTTCAACTGATCTATCATTATGCCATGTACTAAAACAGATCCATGTAAACACATTTACAGCCTCCACTCTATCCCATTTGGGTTAACTCACCTTGGCACGGACGTTTTCAAAAGAGGCAGGGCTCACAAGCGAAAAGCAGATGAGAAACACATCCTGGTGAGAAATGAAAAAAACAATGCAATCAAAGTCCATAACAATCACTTCCTGCCAAGAACAGAAACAAATACTCCTGTGTTCATATCACACAAAGGTGTGGTGTTTTCCTTTCTCTCTTATTTCCTAATTCATTCTAAGCACCTAATCTTTCCAAATGAATTATGTAAGGGTACCACAGGCAAAAAAATATACTTAAGGCACAAGTCAAAGGAAGAATAACAAGTGTAATAAAATACAGCATTGTCAAAATGTTTTAATGTACCGTCTGAGGGTAGGAAAGTGGGCGGAGTCTGTCGTAATCTTCCTGTCCCGCTGTATCCCAAAGGCCCAGGTTCACCGGCTTCCCATCAACCATAACATTGGCAGAGTAGTTGTCAAACCTGATGGAAGCGATGATGAGAGAATAAGACAAAAACATGTTATGCTAAAAATAAACAGACAAAAAAATGTGGCAGGAAATAAACACTCAAGCATTTAAGTGGAAAACAAGTTCTGCATTGATCCGCTGTGTCTATTCAACTCTATCTTGAAAATGAATCATCACCTATTAAATCTGGCTCAGCTAAACCCAGCATGTTGTTTATTAACAGCCTGCTCAGCCAGTCCATGCAGACTGATACCGAGAAACAGAGTTTCCACAGCTGGTCTGGGACCAGATAGAGTGCAGGTTTTTCCGACAAAACTAGATCTATGCATGCATGGCCACCGCTTTTGACCTACACATGCACAGCCAGACCCACTAAGAGAAGGAAACAGAGTGTTCGTATTAACATTATCTTGGCTGAAAATTACTTTCAGTACTCAATGATAGAGAAATAAACACCTGGCTGGCAGAATAGTGAAGAGTTTTAAGCAGGATGCTATTTCTCCTCTCAGATTTCGCTGTGTGTTCAAATGAAGGTCAAACAAAAGCTCTTTAAGTTTATGTTTCCTTTAAAAAACACAATCATTATGAAGTAAAAAACTATACATATAAATATATATATATGTATATTGGTGTGTGTAGGTATACGGCTGTTTTAACTTAGTAAATGTGAATAAAACACTGGCTGGGGGCGCGCCAATCCCTAAATCTCAGTTACAGTTCACAGCAGTGATTATAACCTGTTCTACAGGCAGCCAAATTTCATCAAAATAAGCGACTGAAATACAAGATGTCACCCTCATTATGCGGTGAATGCACAGGAAAGGGTGGAGACAAATAATGGACTGATAGTGCTGATCGCCTCCAACTCTGGCATAAACAGCAGCAGTCTCAGATACTCACACTGTGGGGATGTACTCTCCAGGAAAGGCATTGGTGGTGTAGCTGATGAGCAGGCAGGTCTTACCCACAGCTCTGGAGGGGAGAAGGAGACGGAGGATGAATTGTTTAGTAAAAGAAAGAAAAAGCCATTCTGAGCTTATGTAATAGCTCAAGAGCAGAGCATCAACAAAATGCTCAACAAGCATTGACTGGAAACGATCATATCTACATTCCCTGTTGTGCTCGATCTACAATCTAACATCAAAGACGTAAAACAGCAGATACTCATTGAAGCAGCTCAGCCACAGATCTCAGCAGTTTTACCTGGAATATGACTTTGACTATGATTTTTTTTGTCAACTTGCTTGTCAATTAACTTTCAAATTATTTAGCTCTAATCAAGCCTCAGAATTAAAATCCTACACATAAAGAAATGACTCATAGTCATCCCTTCACCGGGAAATCAGGTTTACATTGTGCAGACTGGATGAAGTTTTTGGCAAGACGTGCAAACAAGATCACAAGAGGAGTATTGACCAAATATGAAACTTAAGAGTTGTACAATTGATTAGGGAACCATTGAGTCAGAATCGAAAATAAACTCAGCCGTAGGCCGATCCGTGACTGTGCTGCTGTGCTATCCACCACACCCTGACCAATATAAGTCAGTTTACCCCCCTCGCACCGTCACATAGTCGCTTATTGCTCGTGTTTAAACCCTGAACCCTGACTCAGACGAAACGATCTCATGCAATTAGAATAAGCTGGAAAACAATTGACCAACACCAGAGAATAACACGAACACGACGCAGCAAAGCTGGAGTTTAACTCTTCGTGTTGCTCAACAGGTGAGTAACTGTGGGCAAATGTTTAAATGTTTAAACTCTGTTGTAGGCGGTTCTGTGACCTGCCCTGCGGTGTCTGACTCACCCAAAGTGGGAGTAAAAAAAACACTGTAGCCGGGGTGACTTCAGATTAACCAACATGAAAACTAGCTCAGGGATATTTAACCAAATCTGAGAAACCAACGATTATCAGTGGTGCCTAATGAGAAAACGATAATGTGCACGTAGTATAACCAGGTCACGTTAAAGCTTGGAGGCTAACTCAGCCCGTCCGGGGGAATTCTGGAGTTTAAGGCTCCGGCGTTAGCTAGTCTGGACTGAGCTAATGCTACACTTCGTCATTTGAGTTCCAACAAGGGTCTCGGAGGCCTGAACTAACCCTGAGCTCCCACCAAGTTAACTCACCCGTCTCCGACAACGACACACTTGATGGCCTGCATTGCGCCGCCGCTAAAGGAATGCTAAGTTAGCCCCGGGAGCAAGCTAACGTTAGCTCGCACGTCTCGTTTCCTTTGTCCGGGGGGGGGGTTGCTCGCTGGTTTAACGCCCCGACAACGTCTCCTTCTCGGCCTTGTGTGGTTTCGCAGCGCGGGGGGGGCGCGGATGAGCTTGCGGCAAAACTCGCGGCGACTTATCTCGCACTTTAGCACAAGTTCGGTCAGAAGTCCGCTCTCGACATTCCCATGCTTTCGTGGGCTGATCGGGAAGCTGCGAGGCAACAACAGCGGCCACCACCCCTGAGCCGAGCGAGAGAGAAAAAAGTGAAGCCGGACACCGCCACCACCAGACGCTGCTTCCGGTGCTGTGACGTCGCCACGCCCACCGAGACCCGCCCCAAAACAAACAGCCGGTGGTCCCGCGGGTTTCTGTAAATTCAGAGGATGTGATCGTGAATGAAATGTCACGAAATGTTTCCTTTAAAATGATCGTTTTCACTCCGATGGCCCCAAAATAAACAAGAAGAACAAGACGGGTGAGTTAGAGTGTGACACAGAATGAGGAAGTGACGTCAGCTCAAGCAGCCTCGTTTGCTCTGGATTTTTTTTATTCCCTGCACTCAGGTTTTCTATCTTGATTTGTTTTTTTACTGTCAAATAACACAAAGAAAAGACTGAAACCAACTTTAAATCCAGTTTTTTAATGCAACTAAAACCTGATGGAGCTGCGCCATTCACTTCAATTGTTCAAATGCTGTTAAATACCCATCAGTTGTGTCTTTCATTCAGCCCATCCCTGTGAAATTATTATTATTGATAACGTTATTCGTATCGCACTTATCTAAACAAGGTGACAAAGTGCTTCGTAAAATCCATGACAAAAAATGAATAAACTAAAATAACCGGTATTGAATTCAATTTTAAGCACTGAATCATAGTAAGGTCAAGACCTTAAAATTTATAGAGATATTAAATAAAATCAGTCATGTCAGGAAACAGTAAAAAATACATGGTAACT